TCCTGATGCTCAGGTGTTACCGTGGTTACTGACATGAAGGGTAGACCAGGACAACTGAACTGGACCTGTTCATTTCTGATATTCCTGTGACCTGGAGTAGTGAGAACCTTCAGTGGAACCTCTGTGTTTTATTATAATTGTCTTGTTAATATAAATTCAATATAATAGAACTCTATAATAAATTCCTCTCTTTTTTCACAATTGTTTAAGAGGAGGATAATTTTAATTCCATTCATTAATACAAAGAAGACTGAGTAGTTTGACATCATTTGATTTCATGTTTCTGTGAATCTACTGAGTGGTTGAACCACCATTTTGTCTTTCAGGATCCAGAAGCTTCCTCGGCTGCTGGTGGCCACAGCCAGTGGGCAGCTTTTTATCTATGATGTGGACGCGGCGGACGGAGGCGAGTGCATGCTGGTCCAAAAACACAGGTAAGGCTTTGACTTGGATGGATATAACGGGAACCTCTGCTGGAATTTTGAATCATTTCACCGTCGATCATTTGTTGTATTCACCACCCAGACGTGTTCTGATGCTGTTGTGTTGTGTGTTAAATCCTTCTTTGTTCCCACTCCTGTAGACTGTTCGGTGCTGATGACGACCAAAGTGACAAACCAGATATTGAGGGGTCAAATGACACGGAGCCCATCTTTCCCTCTTATGCTGCTACGGCTGCTTTACCAGCATCTGGACCGGTCACTGCCACCTTGACTGGTCCGTCTCCGCGTGTTGTGAACCAGTACTTTACTCCAAGTCATTAACTAATCCTGGAGCTAATTCTAGTGATTTGTTTGGGTTTTTTTTTCTTCTTCTTCTTCTTTGTCTTTCCTGTGCACAGGCTACTCTGAAGATGGAGGTGCCAAGAAAGGAGAAGTTATTCCAGAACATGAGTTTGCTGCTGGACCCGTGTGTCTGGACGACGAGAATGAGTTTCCGCCTGTGAGCATCCAGAAGTCGTAACCATTCAAAAAGTAGCTCTGCGCTGTAGCGTGAGCTCCTCATTATCCAGCTGCACATTGTAGTGTAGACTTTTATTATGATTATTTTCCTATTATCGTTAATATTCCCAACCTATAATTTAGGGCTTATATTTTAATTTATTTTCAAAATGTTGTCTTCCTTCGGCTGACGAACAGTCCAGTTGCGTCCAAATGTTGGACGGCAGCTGTCCTGTTAGTCTCTGTTAACATTCATTAGTTTACAAAGCGAGGTAAGTTTAACACAGCTGAAAACCAAAGTATTTCCTTCTGAATTGTCTGGTCATATTTTACCACTTTTCTACAGGAAACCCCAACCTCCTTGAATGTGATGACAAAAAAAACTCTAAAAGTCAAAAGCTTGGCATTAGATTTTCAAAAGGGCTAATATTCAGTGTCATCACAGTTAAGGAGGAATCATGAAGGAAAAAAAAAAGTCAATAGAAATAAATATTTTTTCAGGTTTTACCATTTTGCATGACTTCTCCTGGCGCTGGTCTTTGACTGAGCTGCATTTGACAAATCAAACTAACGGTTCTGTTCATGTGTTTTGTTAGATTAATTGGTGCCGCGACAGGACTGGAGGCGGCCCAGGGAGGCGCTCATGATTGTGTAGAAGGACACATGGACAGAAAAGGCACCGTGGAGTCAAATGAACAGCAAAAAACAAGACTTTCATGGTGCCATCTGACTTTTTTCGTTTAGAGAAAAAAAAAAAAACGCACACTAGTGGGAAAAAAAAACAAAACACTGACACAAGAAGTACAAGTACTGTAGAACCGTTTGTTTTTGTTTTTTTGACTGTATGTGGCTCAGTGTTTTGAAGGGACAGTTTAAGGTACTGACTCTCTATGGTTGACTGTGCTGGTTGGTACAGCCAGGTCAAAACTACGTCTCGTTTCAAACATGGCCGCCAGTGGGAACACAGGAAAACCTAGACTTTAGTTAATGAACAACAGTCTCAACAAATATATACGAGTCAATGAGAGAGTGTTCCTGTCCCTGTAGTTCACTGGGAGGCGCCATTTTCTCTCGTTTTGTTCTTTGAAAATATATTTCAAACACCAGGTTTAAAAAAAATACGCCTGGGATGTAAATGTAGAGGCAGCGGTGAATTAACAACTGCAACAACAAATCACAGCAGCTCCGTCACTGAGACGCTGAAAGAGCTTTGGTCTTAGAAGAATAAGCTGTTAATAACTCCTTATAATAAAAAAAGGGGACAGTCGTACCAACACCGTCCCACACTGACATTTACAGTTGTACCAACACCGTCCCACACTGACATTTCATCAGGTGAACCTTAAACGTTTTTTTTCCTGTGTCCACGCAGGCAGCCATGTTTTCAGCACCTCACCACGGCTCTGTTCCCTAAAGAGGCTGCGCCCCACAGTAGCGCCCACTCCGTCCGCACGGACCAGACAGAACTAAAATAGTTTGGGTCCCGATCAACAGAAGTCGAACATTGTTTAAATGGACCGTCCACTTAACAAAATACATAGTAATGGCCTCGGCAGCCGCCCCAACCTTTAGACGTGGACGTTAATTACAAAACGTTACAAAAAGATTGGCTTTAGGGTGCAGCCGACAAACCTGGACCTGTCCTGTCATGTTTATTAGGTCAAAACCTCATCCAGCCAGACTTCAGATGTTCTGGCTGGACCTTTAACCTTCCTTCAAGTTTGCACGTCTCGTTCAAAACGTCATCTGAAAAAAAAACAAATCAGGGAGTTTGGAGAAAAGGTTGGAGATCTAAGGTGCATGCATTAACTATTACCACAATTTCAAAGGCTTTATTACTTGACAAATTGTTTTTATTGATTTTACCGTAGCGTAGCAACATGAATATTTCCGTCAATATTATTTTAGTTTTTATTTCTGCATAGTATTTTACTGTACTGACATGTATTAAATGTTTGTTAGCCTGGACACACTACGGATTGTGTGTATGTTTGTAAAGGAGTAAAGAGGTCAAGTGATGATACAAAAAAAAATATTAATAATCACGATGATGATGATGATGATATTGATAATATATGACTATTTATAACAGTAACGAAATAAACAGTCTAGTCATTGTAGAACGGCAAAGGACTCTTTCTTTCCTTCTTTTCTGAAGATTCCTGATAAGGTATCGCCCGATGCTGGTGGTTATGTAAGTATGATCAGTCAAAGGTCAGACACTTACACGTCATCGCAATATTTCCAACGGTCTAAAATGCATCTTCTTCTTTTACAGGTTACAGCCCGTTTAACGTTCTAGCTGTTGTGGGGTTAAAAAAAAAACAACTTTCAGAACAACCACTGGCAGTAGAACTTTAGGGTTCGGTTCCTGAGGTATGAAACAGTTTTTTCAGCATAAAAAACAAACGAACAAAAACAAATGATTCTCAAAATATCTGTAACTAGCTTTAATAAACTGTTTACTGTTTACAGTCAATCCACTTGCATCAGTCCCAGGTGTTACCGTCCAGATTTGTTTACTTGCGTGATTTCCCTGAAATGAAGTCAGTCTAGCCTTAACCTTAACCCTAACCTTTCCCCTTGTATTCCTCTGACATTTTCTTTAACAGGGACCGAAGGGCTGGCCTTTTGCTGACCACCTCGTAGACACGCCCGTGTTGTGCAGAGAAAAGTACTTCAGATCAGGTCAAGTCTGACACTCGACATCAGAAGCCACGGAGAGGAGGGTGAGTCCATTTTAATGATTCACACACTATTTTTGACATGTATTAATTGTTATATCCTACTGAAAACATTTAACCAAAGAATGATGTTCTTACCCGCCGAAACTCTAAAAAGAGCTCTCTGCGTTTGGTCAATTTTAAAATTATCTGGTTTATTTTAAATCGAAGTGTTTTTTGTTTTTTTGTTTCACTGTTTCACTTTCCGATAAATGTTACGTTTCCCATGTTACGTTTAAAAAAACAAGTATTGGGTTTGGTTTTTTTTTAATAAGAAAATGTAAAAAAAATATTTTCGTCTTGATATAATAATCGGTAATTTGTGATATGGCTTTTGTTTGACGTTCTTGTTTCCAAGCCTCACGTAAACGCAACACAAAAGCCGGCAGATGATGCCCGAGAAAGAAGCTCGCGCGTGCGTGTTTCAGATAGAGAAGAGCTTACGAGCGCGTCCCTTTGCGCGTGCCCACGGCGGAATACCGGCTTGAGCCGGTAAAGGGCTGCCAAAGCAAGAGGAAATGGTTGAGACAAAAGATGCTGCTGTCGCTGTGACCCGTGACAAAACGGCTATAAATATTCTTTTTTTTAATTGTTTCTTTTTGTAGTCGTTGTTGATGATAGAGTGTTCGGGTTTTACTCAGAAATACGTGGAGTTTTGCTCACTCCACCTCGGAAAGTCTAATCGTTTGCCGTAAATAATTAAGCTGAAAAGACTAAACAAGATGACGACGACGTAAAAAAAAAAAAGAAAAAGAAAGAAAAACCATTTCCCCCTCTTCCTCTTTAGACTCAGCTCTGCCGGTAAGTGTGACTTGTTCGGCCGTTGAACGTCTGTGGTGATGTGTCACTAATGACCGAGTGTGTTCACAGTGCGTTCTTCGGTGTTATTGTATAAATAATAAGTCAGGGACACGGGGATACTATAATATAATATGGAAACGCAGTGTGTGTTCGGAGCTCGGGCTTCGACAAACCTGGGGATGCTGCACACTGACATCATCATCTGCCTCCTCCACCGCAGTGCGGATAAATCACCACACAATTCAGGACACAAAATCACTTCTCTAGGAAAACACACAGCAAACATTGCGAAAAGGGTAGTTTTTAAAAAAAAAAAAAATTATTACTATTGATGAAGAGGATTTTTGTTTTTGTTTTTTTTTTTTGTCAAGTTTGTTTTATTCAACCAAATAATTGTGACTCAACACGCAGCGTTTTCACGACGATAGTCATGAAACATGAAAGGACGGATGTACCTTACAAGTCTGAAGTTTTACCAAGAGATACAGTCTGTGAAGAATCTGAGAAAATTGTTTTTATAGTTATTTCTCGTCTTTGTTTTCTTGGTGTTCAGTCTTTGTCATGTTATTGATTACACCGATGTTTACCCGGGAAGTTCTTGACACGTAATACAAAGGGTAAAATACATGAACAACAGTGAAACCTCATTAAACCGATGTTTAATTGAACTCGAAACATTTTTGAAAACCGGTTTCAATGTCTTAAAATAAAACTGTCAAAAACGCCACCTGGTGGAGTAAAGCGGAACACTGCCTTAAGACCAGTTATGAACTGTTACACAAACACAAAAGTCCTCCGTTGTTGTTGTTTAAAGATGCTCACTGTTTACACTTCCTGTTCACCTCTTTGACTCACCAACAATCTTGTTTTTTTATCTTCCCTGCTCTGCCAGCAGGTGGCCCACTCTCACCATGAAGGTCCTTCCGAGTTCCCACTGTTATTTGGGTCCTAAGGTTTACCCAGAAGTGCCTGATGGTGGTTGGGGCTGGGCTGTGGCCGTGGCCTTTTTCATGGTGGAGGTCTGCACCTACGGCACCATCAAGAGCCTGGGGGTCTTCCTCCAGGACCTGATGGACGAGTTCGGGGAGAGCAACAGTCGAGTGTCGTGGGTCATCTCCATTTGTGTTTTCGTCTTTTCCTTCACAGGTTTGTCACTTCAGATGTTTTTCTTCACTCTCGTGTGTTTCTGACCCACTGTTCCTCTGTAACCTGACCAAGTCTCTCGTCTGCTCTTCTACAGCTCCATTGTCAACAATGATGAGCAACCGCTTTGGCAGTCGTCCGGTGGTGATGATGGGAGGCTTCCTCATCAGCCTGGGCACCATAACCTCTGCCTACACCAATTCATTGAAAGAGATGTACATCACTGTTGGCATTGTCTCAGGTAAACACGTCATCACGTCTCATCAGTAGTTTCAAACGTCTGTCTGTCCTCCAGCTGTTTTTGGCTTCTTTATTTTTCAAAGGGATGATCATTATTGTGCAATTGTTTACATTTCAAAATAAAAATGTTATTACTTTATATTTAACTGCTTTGTATATATAATTATATATAAATGGGAAATGACCATGTGTCCGTTAGTAGATCATTTAAACTGGAGACTTACAGGACGGCCACAGGTAATGTCCACGTTAACGGAAGTGTTTGTTTGTTTGTTTGTTTGTTTTATTCAACGTGAAGCCAGTGTGCCTCTGTAACCAGTCTGTTGTTTCTTCTTGTTGAACAGCATCATGAGTGAATGAACTGAAGGGACTCCTAGCAGTGTCAACAACAAAATTTGTTTTTTTGCAGAAGCGTATAATCGTAAAAAGGCAAACACTGGTCCACTTTCTGCCTTTCTGACAATCAGTAAATTCTCTTTTTTACACTCCAATTCACACAAATGACAAATTAAGTGGCTCAGGTCAAAACTCCATCTGTTACTAAACAAAAAAAAAACAACGTTTGTTGACATGTGACGTTAATGGGTGAGAGTTCAGGTGGACAACACAATAACTTGTTTTTTCTTTTGGACAGAAAGCACTGCTAGCCCTCCCACCGTGTTACCTTGTTTGCCTCTGAAACGAGCTGCAGCTAACTTGACGTCACCCTCTCCTCTCTCTCTTTGTCTCTCCTCTTTTTTTTTTTTTTTTGTCTTTACATGCCTTATGTCATTCAGCAGCAGCTGTAACAATGAACTGAGTCGCCTCAAGCAGCTCGCCACCTTAAAAAAGGAGCAGCCTGACTACCTTGATCTCTGACCCACCCTCCTCTCTCCCTGCAGTGTTCCACTGTGCGGGTTAGTGGCTGTTATGTCGCGTTTCTGTCCTTCTTGTTTACAGGCCTGGGCTACTGCCTCACCTTCCTCCCCACCATCACCACTCTAGCTCAGTACTTCAACAGACGGCGAGCCCTCGTCACGTCCGTTGCTTCTGCTGGAGAATCCGTCGCCATATTTGCATTTGCACCAGGTCAGTGAAAAACAAACAAATTCTTTATTAGAAAGTACAGGAGTGAAGAGATAAAACACGTTTGTTAGTTTGTGTTGTTGTTAGTTTTTTATTAAAAGCATAGAATATTTAGAATATTTATTTTTATATGTTTTGTGACAAACCAGAACTTTATTCTGTAAATGTATAATTACTTCCCATTTTTTCATATCATCTGTTTAAAAGCAGGAAGTTGAACTTTGACTGACATAAACAAAAAAAACAGGAAGAGAAAACAAAAACCAAAAACAGCTGATGATTTTTTTTTTTTCTTCACAGTTTTCACTGCACTGAAAGCACACATCGGCTGGCGCCACTGTTTGATCATCATTGGGATGTTCCAGGCGTCCGTGACTGTTTGCGGACTCCTGCTTTGTCCAATTATCATCAAGCCAGAAGTCAAGAAAGAGGACGAGGAGTCCGACAAGAAGTCGCTCTCCCAGAAGCAGCTGCAGACCGTCTACGAGCTGGAAAATGAGCAAACCAGAACTTCTATGAGTTCCGGCGTCTCTGTAGAGTCAGAGGACTCAGGGGTCACGTCCCTCTCTACCTCAAATGGGGACATGAGGACTGTGGGAGTGGAGAGCAAGGGGCTGCTGGAGTGGGAGGAGCAGGACAGAAAGAGTCGGGAGGCATCGCTGTCTCCAACTTCCACTCTGGTGATGGAGAAGGTTGAAGTTGGAGAAGGTGTGGAGGCGGAGGCGGAGGCTGGTTCTCCAAAGCCGTCAAACACCAAACTCCTGGACGTCTCTGTGCTCAAAGACAGTGCCTTCATCTGCTACGCCCTCTTTGGCCTGTTTGCCACACTGGGCTTCTTTGCTCCTCAGCTCTACGTCATTGAGCTGAGTAAAAGCCGGGGCGTGGAGCCCAGTATGGCCTCCTACATGCTGTCTGTCATGGCTGTGGCGGAGATCTTTGGTCGCTTGTCCATTGGCGTAGTGTTGAACAAAGTCCCCTGCAGGAAGACCCTGGTGTTGTTGGTCTGCGTGGTCTTTCTCTGCCTGGTTCTGGTGGCCTTCACGCTTGTGTGGGAGTTCTGGGGCCTCGTGGTCTGCTGTGCCCTCTACGGCTACTTCCTGGGCACCGTGGCCTCCACGCACATCCCGATGCTTGCTGAGGAGGACGTGGTCGGAGTCCAGAAAATGGCGTCGGCTGTAGGCATGTACGTCTTCATCCAGAGCTTCGCTGGGCTGGCTGGACCACCGCTAGCAGGTAAAAAAAAAAAAAAGTGCTTTGATTGGACTTGTGGGTAATTTAGTGATGATGTCAGCGTTTGTTTGTTTGTTTGTTTGTATCACTCAGCTCACACCATAACAGGAAGTTGGTTTTTATCAGTGTCATTGTTGAGTGATTGATGTCAGTTCATTGTTCAGAAATAGATTTTAAACATTAATCATAACTTATTTCAACATTTCCCTCCAGTTTCTAACCACAGTTAAAACTGTTGTCGTCTTCACGGTGACATCTTCTCCTCTTCCTCCCCCGCAGGAGTGTTGGTGGACGTCACGCAGAACTACGGTGCTTCTTTCTACTCCTGTGCCATCGGCATGGGCCTCGGTGCCGTCTGCCTGGCTCTGGTCGGTCCGGCCAAGACTGGTCTGTGCCACAGAAGGAAGAGAGATGACATCAGGTCCAGAGAGGAAGAGAAGAAGCTGTCACAGCAGGAAAACAACCAGGCGGACTTCCTGGAGGTGGACTTAGCGTCGGACGACAGTCCAGTCAAACAGAACGTCTCTCTGTGAACTGAGCCTCAGCTTTAGCATCGTGTCACCTCACTGCTGCTGTCACCTGGTATATTTGAACGGCTGTAGCCTGACTAACAGTTACAGTCGCTGCAGTGGTAGGCTCCCAATCTCAGGTATCACTTTTTTTTTTTTTTTTTTTTTTTTAAACAAGCTTGAAGTTGAAGGAGTAAATGTGTGTCTCCTCCGAGACCAAAGAGTCAGTTTACTGTTTACTTTTGTTTTGACTCGACTGTACTTTTATCTCAGGACAAAAGTATCGTTTCAGTATCACACGTTTGTCGCCGTACAACACATCTGCTCTTCACATCGGCCACTTGCATGACCACGACCAAGAACTGCGGCCACATCCTGGTCATGTGACGCTGTTGAAGTCTTATTGTTGTATCCAAAAACAAATCTTTATTTAAAAGTTAGAGGGAAAAAACAGTCTTACTATTAACTTTATGAACTTGAACATATGAACTTTACGATATGAGGTTTGTTGATGACAAGGTCAGTCCTGCATCACTGTTCGATGGAAACAGTCATAGAAGAAGAGGAAGCTTCACTTTTTTTTTACTCCTGACTGTAAACTTTTATACGACAGTTTTATACCAAAAAGACTTTGATTCCACTCGTGTCCATGTGATGATGATGACGATGTGTCAGTCTGTCTGACTGATGCTTTGCCTGTGTTTCTGCTCCAACAACTTGACGAGTCAACAGCACCTTCGTCTTGTCCTGCGGCACCGTACACTCACAGTCAGCACATTTAAAGGCATGTGAAGTCTGACGTTCATATTTACCTCAGCAGCAGGCTGCAGTAAACCAAGGACCCGTGTCCACGTGAGTGGAAGACACTTCATTTTTCTTTGAAATTTCACGCTGCTCTCCAATGAAACCCAAATAAAATTGTAATTGTAATATTTACATCACTGTGGTATTTATTGTTTAGACCAGGGGTCGGCGACCTCAACCACCAGACGAGCCATTTGGAGAGTTTCACACTGAAAAGAAAACACAGAACACTTCTGACATTTAATGTTGATGTAAATCTATGAAACGAACAGACAACGAACTGCTGCATTTCTGCATGTGACAAAAACATTAGGAATTCAAAAAGACCTTCGATTACTTTCCAAATATCATAATGTCTGTTTGAGTCCTTCTTGTATTTATACGGTTTATACGGTATTTATACGGTTATAACCTGCAGCGGCAGCGTTTGCTGGGAGTCAGTCGGTGTGTGCACCGTAGTATAGGGGAGCGGAGGGAGAACGACGGTCGGTAGCTGAGGCGACGGTGTCAGTGCGAGAGGACACGAACCGCGTCAAAAGTGCTTTATGTTCGTTACGATTCTGGTGGATATTTTAAAAAAGGAGCATCAAAATCTAACGCTGGAGTCGGACTGGCTCATTCCGAGGGGAACCCACAAACACACACACCTGTATCTTAATTGTCCAAAGCAACACGGAGAGGGATCGAAGACCTGTCAGGTTGACGGGTGCTGATATAAATGAGATGTTAAACCATCAGAAGGTAATATTGAAAAAAAGTATATATTTATTTAGCAAAGTCACGCCTTTAATTGAATTTTTGTTCAGGTGATAAAAATATTTATTTAGCAAATTCACACTTTAATTGAATTTTTGTTCAGGTGATAAAAAACTCTGATGCAAATTGTTGACATTTTTTTTTTGGTCAGACGTTGAAAAAGTTTGATGATTTTTTTCCCCCAAAATTCTATGGTTTCTGCTTTTTTTCTCATCAAATACAGCATTTTGAGACATTTTAGAATTTTTGTTTTGAAATTTCTCAAGTATTTTTTCACGTGTAATTTTTGATCAGATGTGTAACAAAGTTATGATAACAATTTTGGACAATTTTTTCAAAGTTTTATCTGATCTGCATTTTCACATCAAATTAGAGCACTTGAGTTTTTTTTTTTCCAAAAACTTTTGGCAAATTCCTAATTTGACTTGTCCGACAGTTGCTGTACTATTTCACTCTTGTTTCTGATCCACTGTTCCTCTGTAACCTGACCAAGTCTCTCGTCTGCTCTTCTACAGCTCCGTTGTCAACAATGATGAGCAACCGCTTTGGCAGTCGTCCGGTGGTGATGATGGGAGGCTTCCTCATCAGCCTGGGCACCATAACCTCTGCCTACACCAATTCATTAAAAGAGATGTACGACGCTGTTGGCATTGTCTCAGGTAAATATGTCTTCAAATCTCATCAGTAGTTTGAAAAGGAACTATTTTTTTCATTCTGTCTAAATGTTGTGAAAAACATAAAAGATAAAAGTAAAAAATAATTTTATACATTTTTTTGTCAAAATCTTTTAGTTTTTGACCAAAAACTTCACAAAAAGTTCACATTTTGGCAAAACATTTTGTAAGAATAAATTTCTAAAAATGTTATCTAAATACCCTAATTTTATAGAAAACATGCAGGAAAAGATAACATTTTGAAAATTAATTTTACAAACATTTTGGTCAAAATGTATTAGATTTTGACCAAAAATGACACGAAAAATTCACATTTTGGCAGAAAGTTTTATAAAAATAAATTTGTAGAATTGTTCTCGAAATGCCCTAATTTAATGAGAAACATGCAGGAAAACATAAAATTGTAAAAAATAATTTTACAAAAATATTCATCAAAAGTTTTTAGTTTTTGACCAAAAATGACACAAAAAGTTCAGATTTTGACAGAGATTATTATAGAAAAGAATTTGCATGCAGGAAACGATAGAATTTTAAAAAGTAGTTTTACAAAGATTTTCATCAATTCTGTTTTAGTTTATGACCAAAAATGACACGAAAAATTCACATTTTGGAAGAAGAAATTACGTTAACTTCATATTTTGTCAAAAACGTTTATAGAAAAAAAATTCTAAAAATGTTCTCTAAAAGCCCTAATTTTGAGAAACATGCAAGAAAGGATCAAATTTAAAAAAATAATTTTACAAAAATCTTCATGAAAATGATTTAGTTTTTGACCGAAAAAAATATTTTT